TTTTCAGAAAGGGCCACTGAGACAATCAAAATTACTTGGAAATCAGAAAGACCAGTGTGGGTTCCTCAGTGGCCCCTGACTAAAGAAAAGACACAAGTAGCCCATGATCTGGTCAAACAACAATTAGCGGAAGGACATATACAACCTTCCATATCTCCCCATAATACTCCCATTTTTGTCATCAAAAAGAAATCTGGTAAATGGAGATTATTGCAAGATTTAAGAGCCATTAATAATGAGATGGTTATTATGGGACCTGCTCAATCAGGGATTCCTCAATTGTCTGCTTTGCCAAAAACCTGGCATGTTTTAGCTATAGATATTAAAGATTGTTTTTTTTCAATTCCAATTCATCCCAAGGATAGTCCACGTTTTGCATTTACTATCCCTGCATTAAATCATGAAGGTCCTGATCAGAGATATGAATGGAAAGTACTCCCTCAAGGGATGGCTAACAGTCCAACTATGTGTCAAATATATGTTAACAAAGCAATCCAGCCACTTAGAAATCAAAATCTTGAACTACAAATATTTCACTATATGGATGATGTATTATTGGCACATAAAGATAAAAACATATTGCTGGAATGTTATGCCACACTTACAAACTTATTAAAAAATTATAATCTAGAGACAGCAATAGATAAAGTACAATTAAATTTTCCAATTAATTATTTAGGAGTTCTATTATCCTCAACCATGGTCCGTCCACCAAAAATTCAAATACGAGTAGATCAACTCAAATCACTTAATGACTTTCAAAAGTTATTAGGAGACATAAATTGGATAAGGCCTTATCTAGGTATACCAACAGGAGAGTTGGGACCTTTATTTGATATTCTAAAAGGTCCATCAGATCCAAATTCACCCCGCATGTTAACTCCTAAAGCAAGAAAGGCATTAAAAATTATTGAAACATATATGGAAAACATACATTTGGATAGAATTGATATAAGTTTGCCTTTATTATTTATTGTACTACCAACAAAAAATATTCCTACAGGAGTATTTTGGCAAGAAGGTCCATTATTGTGGATACATTTATCTTATTCTCCTAACACTATTCTTACTAGGTATCCTGAGGCTGTAGGACAATTAATACTCAAAGGAATAAAAGCAGCGAAGGGAGTGTTTGGAATTTCTCCCAATAAAATTATTACTCCATATACTATGGATCAAATTGATGAGTTAGCTAATGAGTTAAATACTTGGGCAATAATCATGTGTAAATCTAATATTTCATTTGATAATCATTTACCATCTAATACTTTGTTGTCTTTTTGGTCTAAGCATCCTGTAGTTTTTCCTAAAATGACAAGAAAAACACCTATCATGAATGCTCCAAATATATTCACTGATGGGTCAAATAATGGTACAGCAGCAGTAGTTACCCCTGATCAAACTTTTACATTTTTAGTACCCAAACAATCAGCTCAAAAGGTAGAGCTTAATGCAGTTTTACAAGCTTTTTTGATGTTTAAAGATTCTGTATTTAATTTATTTTCTGATAGTCAGTATGTAGTTAATGCTATAGTATCTCTTGAAGATGCTGGTAGGATTTCCCCTTCTTCTACTGTTTTCTCTTTGTTTTCCACTATACAAAGTCTAATCTGGGACAGAAAAGATCCATTCTTTATAGGACATATTAGGGCACATACAGGATTGCCTGGAGCCCTTAGTTTAGGCAATGATTTAGCAGATAAAACTACACATGACATACATATTTTCTCTACATTTGAAGAAGCTACAAATTTTCATAAAAGGTTTCATGTTAATGCTAATACTTTACAAAAGCGTTTTAAAATAACTAAGGAACAAGCCAGACATATAATAAAACAATGTCAAAATTGTGTGACATTTTTACCACAAGTTAATCTTGGAGTCAATCCTAGAGGACTGATACCTAACCATATTTGGCAGATGGACGTCACACACTTGCCAGAATTTGGAAAATTAAAATATTTACACGTTACAGTTGATACTTCTTCTGGATTTTTGATGGGCTCCCTTCATGCCGGAGAAAAAACTAAAGATGTTATAGCTCATTGCTTACAAAATTTTGCCACTGTGGGCGTTCCTAAACAGTTAAAAACCGATAATGGTCCTGGCTATACCTCTACCTCTTTTAAACAATTTTGCTCATCATTTGGTATTACTCATATAACAGGAATCCCATACAATCCACAGGGACAAGGCATAGTTGAAAGAGCTCATCAAACTATTAAAACATACTTATTAAAGCAAAAAGAGGGAATTGGAAGGGGGTATATATCCCCCAAAGATAAACTTAAAATAACGCTTTTTACTCTAAACTTTTTAAATTTGGATTCATCAGGACTTAGTGCTGCAGAAAGACACATGTATCCAAAAAATGTACATAAGCCTAAAGTACTTTGGAAAGATATTCTAACAGGACAATGGAAAGGTCCTGACCCAGTGATTGTCTGGAGTCGGGGGTCTGTTTGTGTTTTTCCACAGGGAGAACAGCAGCCGATTTGGATCCCAGAGAGATTAACTAAAACAATTTCTGCAGATCGAAAAGAAGATGATTTGACTCAAATCCATAACAGCTGATATCCAGAGCTCCAGCTTGGCCATTCTTACATCTGCAACAGTGATTAACCAGTGATGCAATTTTTATTTCCTTGCCAGCGCACCCCATGTTAATTGTGGTAGTGCTGGCATATCTTTGCTGATGGTGTCACCAGTGATGCAATTTTTCCCAAGGAGCCATCAATTGGCTTGGTGTCGTGGCATTTCTGTATCCTCCTCCCTTCTGCTAGTGATGGTCTAAAATTTGGGGGCCAATGGCTTATGCTGGACCGGTAGTCAGTGACGGGTATGATCCAATTGCAGTGGTATCAACCTAAGACAGGAGGCTGACGCCTAAAGGTCAGTTTTCCGATGACGGGTAAGAACCATATGTTGAATTGGACAACCTACCAGGCACGGTCCTTAAGCCACATTGCTTGTTGTTTAATTAATCAGAAGGGGGGAGATGCTGGGAGCCATTAGCCAAGTAGGTATGACAATTTCCTTGCCAGCGTACCCCATGTTGCTGACATGTTGCAGTGACATTGAATGTAGGTGACCTTGCTCAAGGACCAAGGCAGATTAGGGTGTTCCCGGTTTTAAGATAATCGTGTTTAGGGCGTTCCCAGTTTAGGTTCCAGGTTTAAGGTTTAAGATTATTCCTGCTGGGAATAGGGCGTATCCTGCTGCCTGAGTTCCCCTTGAGTTCTCACGGGATTCAGACAGTATATTTTGGAGATAGAAGCCCAGTGGAGGTGGATTTGGGAAGAGAACGTGGATTTCCCCAGAACGTGATTGTAGACGGCTGGTGTGAGTTCGGGAATAAAGAGTTGCTGTTTGAATCTACAAGCTGTGTGGTGGCTCGTGATTGTGTGCCCAGCCAGACTGCGGCATTTGTGCCCAGCCAGACTGTGGCAATACATTTTCTAAACTACCTATACATTTTCTAAGTGGTTCATGTGTACTTTTAGCCCAAGCATAGGCAATTCTGAATCTTCATTTGAAGCTACAGATATATTCTCTCACTCAACCATGATATAATCTGTTATCATCTATATAAATAAGTGGATCCATATGTTACAAAGAAAACTATCAACTATATCCTGAAGTTGATTAAAAATGCAACATTTGGGAAAAAAATCAACATTTGTTAATGCCTGCAGAGTGTGATATATGTGAAAAAGAACCTTTGTGTTAAATAACAGAGCTAAATAGGAATAAAAATTTTAATTGAAAAGAGCATTATAGCACATACTTGGAGAAGAAAATAGAGATAATTTTTTTAAAAAATGATGCTTACCCATTAATTAATGGGTGGAAAGTAGAAATGACACTTTGGATTCTTTGGATTAAAGTTTGATCTACTTTGTAGAATTAAAATTATTTCATATGTGGACTTACAAAGTAGAAAAATATACCAAAACTTGGTGTTCTGTAGTGTAATAACATCTATATTTATTTAGATATGCATTTATTTTTGGTACCAGAAATTGAACACAGGGGCACTTAACCACTGCACCACCTCCCTAGCCCTTTTCTATGCAAGTACACACATTGTAGGACTTTAAAACTATTCATAGTGACTTTTATTACCAGTGGTTTTCAACCTCTAACCTACATCAAAATGACTTGGAAAACCTGTTAAAAAAAAAGAAGCAGATTACTGGTCTCCATACTCACTTTGGTTTAGCATGTCTAGGTGGAACCTTAGAATTGTATTTCTTTTCTTTGGATGAGGCAGGGTAGTCCCAGGGATTGAACTCTGGCAAATTCTCAGGAGGTGCTGATACTTCTGGTTTGACCAGGATCATGTTTTGAGAACCCCTGCTGCAGACTTCTGAATAATATTGAGAATAATTTGTTCGTATACCTTATTTTTATACCTTCAAAGTAAAGAGTATCTTGGAGAGATTTTAAACCGTGACAGTCACTGAACTGTCTCAGCAGAAATTTTAAGAGAATGTGCCAAGCTTCTGTAATACAACTCAAGGAAATAAAAGTGTACCTACTATGACAGTAGAAGAACTCCTACCAGGAGTGTAGTTGGTTAGTTATTTCTAAGTTGTTACAACAGTGTATTGAATTAATACTTGGGTGAACCTAATAGTCACAGATATCAGTCTGTATGTCCTATAGATAGAATGTATAACATTCCACAATCCATTTAAATTCAGCTAACAGAGGGTTAATTCATAATAACAAAAAACAAACAGGTGATTCTTAGATGCCTCCATGGACCCTGCAACCTCCAATAATATCTTCTTTAAAAAATATATGAAACATAAGAAAAAAATTGGAGTCATTGAAGAAAATACTAGGATTCCTATTACTACTATATGTGTTTGCAAGTACATTCAGATGTAGTTCACAACACAGTACCTATAAGTACAATTACCAAAAATAAATAGTAAATTAAATATAATAAACTTTTATTAAATTAATATAGTTCATAGGATGGATAACATATCTTAGTCAAAAGTGATGGTTCTTTTATCATTGTTTAAATAATCAATATATGGGAGACATGCAATGGCAAGTTCTGCTTTTGAACATCCTTTAATACAGCATTTATTTGAGAATCCTCTGCGTTTTCTTTGGGGATGATTCCCCCAAAATAAACTGTGTGGTGTTTTAATTTTAGTTGAGCTTTTCTTCTGAGGTTTTATACTGTCATGAGAATATGGATCAACATCATCTGATGAAGAATAATCGCTTATCTTGATGGGCAGCCAGTTGACCTTTTTATAGTGATACTTAGAGTGTGACTGTATCCCCAAACTATTTATTGGTTTTCCCGGAGAGGCAGAGGCTGTTGAGAAACAAGAAAAATATTACTGCCTTATTAAAGTTTTCCCTTAGATTGAAATTAAATATTGGAATACTAGAAATCAGCTAATGATTAAAAACAATTACATTTTAAATAAAGAATAGAAAGTATGGTTATTCAAAGGCAATATATATATTTTTAACTAAAATAGTTGTGGGATTTTCCTATAATTTCTTTGAACATTTTTGTAATAACATTTTTAACTAAAATATTCCTGTGCCATAAAATTTTACAGTATGTAAATTAGTGGTTTTTAATATATTCACAGGGATATACAACCATCATTACCATCTAATTCCAGAATATATATATCACCCCCCCACACACAAAAAAAACACTAACTCAAAAAAACAACAAGAAAAAATAGCAGTCACTATTAGTTTCTCCTCCTTGGTTGCCCTTGGCAACCAGGCATCTATTTTGTTTCTTTGTATATACAGTAAATGGAATATAAATGGAAGTATATACTATGTGGCTGTTTGTGTCTGGTTTCTTTCATTTAGCATAATGTTTTCTATGTTCATGATGTAACATATGTGATCTTTTCATTTCTTTATGACAGAAAGAGTTTCTGTTTCAGAGATATTCCACATTATATTGTGTTTATCCATTTATCTCCCATCAGTTGATGAACATTTAAGTAGTGTACACTTTTGGGCTAATACAAAAAAGCACTGCTATGAACGTTCACATGCAAGTTTTTATGTGAATATTTTTTTCAATTCTTTTGGCTAAACACATAGATCATATGGTAATTTTAATTTTTTGAGGAACCGACAAACTTTTCCACAGCAACTATACCATTTCACAATCTTAACACTGTCAAAATAGTGTTCCAATTTCTCCATATTTTCACCAACACTTGACATTTTCCATTTTCTGACACAGCTATCCTAATGGATTTGAAATATTATCTCATTGAGTTTTTATCTATATTTACCTAATGCTTAATGATACTAAGCAATCTTTTCATGTGCTTATTGGATATCCTGTTTGGATCAATGTCCATTTAATGTCTTCATCCATTTTTAAATTGGGTTGTCTTTTTATGGATATTTTATAAGTAAACAGTCATCAGAAACCATTTTGTTCTTCATCAAAATATAAAGAAACAAGAAGTGGTATATGCTCAAGGTTCGATGAATGATCTGATTGTTGCTGTTATAGTGCTCTTAACTCATTCAACATTATTGGATATTATCCACAAGAAAACAAAATAACTACATAAGACAATTATTTGGAGACTTGTTAGACTTCTGTCATGACCCTGACTCATCTATAGAACCTTCTAGGAAGATATATTTGTCAATAGCCTCCACCGTAAATCCAGCCTCTCTGTATCATGGCATTCAGGTGGTGGCACAGGCATAACTGGCAGCTTTTAGCTAAGTTTACTGTGGGAATCAGAAGCAGAAAGTGGAGAGCAAATATTTGAAAAACTTGCAGTTTAGTTAGAAAAGGAGCACATGTAAAATTGGGGCCATGGAAAGCATGGTTGCTGAAGAGATTACCACCACTAAAGACAAAGTAAGTACTTTGGACAGAGATAAGAGAAAACATGCCTTGAGGACATCTCAGGAAGCTGCAAGACCATGCCTATGGCAGGATCAAGGGAAAGGTAAGAGTTAAAAGTCATATGAGAAGAGAACCTACTCAAACTGGCTAGGAAGTCGTTTCCCCAGGATTTGATTCACCATGCTCATCTGCCCAGAAACTCAGAGGTTGCTGCACCGATGGAGCAAGCTACTACACAAGTTGGCAACAGATGTTGGCATTGTCTACATGGTTCTGGTTCTGCAGGAATGTAGGATAATGGAATGAGGGGATCAGAGAGGCTTCTACCAAGATTTCAAAGGAAGTCCTAGAATGTCAAGAAAATTGTAGCAGGATTGAAATCTTTGTGTGAAGCCCACAAGAGGGTGGTATGTGAAGATGTAATAATGGAGCCAAAGTTGACAATCATAGAGAATCCTGTAGAACTCCTCATGGATAAGAAACTCAGTTGAAGATGAGCATTGCTCCTAAAGAGGGAGGTCTGGTGCCCTAAGAAGGCTGTGTACTAGAAGAAATGGGGACTCAGGGAGACAGATCCAGAATAGACTCTGAGACTGGAGACCACATGGGACTGAAGATTCCAGCAGAAAGTGGGAGCACACAATGTTCCCAACAGGCAGCTACACAGAGTGAGGCTAGCAGGGCAGAGGTCAGAAAGGCAAGGTGGAGTGTTTCTTCTACCATGCTAAGTCTAGTTTAGTTAAAAACAAATTTGTGAATGTTTTAATTGTAAATTCAAATGTGCTAATTTTATAATCCATAATATATTTTAAAATATGTAATAAAAGATATGTTGGCAACTAATTGCTCACTCAGTTTGTTACTTGATATTCAGAAAAAGATGGTATAATATTATTGTGGTTAAGATTTGTTTGATGTGAATATAGAATGTTTAATTAAAAAAAAGAGAATGAAGCCAAAGCTGGAATGGATACCCAACAATTAAGAGATGAAGAGATGCTAGGAACATGGAATGTTTGCTCAGGAAAGCTGAAGGATATGTCCAGAGAGAGGTCATATGTGCTATACCCTACAAGGCCACAGGGGTAGGGCTGTCCAAGCCCTTTGGAACTCACATCTTGCCACCATGTGGCTCAGGTAGCAGATATGTAGTTAAAGGACCTAATGTTTGCCTGGTTCAGTTTTGGTCTTGCTTCTTTCTATACCCCTATTCCTCCCTTTTGGAATTGGAATGTTTACTCTGTGCCACTGCATATTTGATATATGTAATTTGCTTTTGATTTTTAGAGGAGATCAAGAGTTTGTCTTGAATCTTAGTTGAGACTTTGTACTTCAGTACTTTTGAGAAATACTGGAACTGTTAAGATTATGAAGATCCTTGGAGATGCACTAAATGTATTTTGCAATGTGAGATGAGAATGAGGTTTTGGAGGCCAGGGGTAGAATATTATGGTTTGGACATGAGTGCCTCCTGCCCAAAACTCATGTATTGGAAACATGATTGCCAGTGTAGAAACGTTCAGAGGTGAAGACATTAGATTATGAAAGTTATAACCTCACCAACTACTTCTTGAAAGATGTTCTTCACTTGGTTTCCAGGACACCACATTCTCTTTTCTTCCTACTAGACTAGCTATCCCTTTTTCTATCTCCTTTGCAAATTCTTCCTCCATAATTTTTAAATATGTTTGTCTCCTAAGGTTCATTTCTTGGTGCTCTTTTGTATCTATATTTGCTCCCTTAGTAATCTCCTTTAATCTTATGGCTCAAAAATCATCTATGCAACTATAAATCCTAAATTTCTACCTTCAAACAGGATTTCTCTTCTAAAGTCTAGATTCATATAGAATATTTTCTACTGAATATTTTTACCTCAATATTTCTGATTTAAACAAACTCAATATATTTAAAACTCTACCTGGATTTTAAAAACTATGTCCAGAACTGAATTATTAATATTGTCTTCCAAACCTGTTCCACTTGAGGCTTGTCCAGTCTTGGTTGATGGAAACCCCATCTTTCTAGGTGGTCCACATAAAAACTTTAGAATCACTTTTTTTATGTTTGAAAGTCATATTTTTTTTTGTTCAAAGTTTCCCAAATATATCTAGATTATAATAGTTTTCACTATTTCCACTGCTACCAACTTTAAGACCTTCCCTCATTAACAGACCTCTCTGCTTCTATTCTTTCTACCCTATAATCTATTCTCAACATAGTAGGCACAGTGATCCCTTTAAAAAATTATTCATGTCATTTTATATAAATGAACCTACCAATATATGACTAATGGAGAAATTTAAATGCATGCTATTTAAGACTGGAGACCAGATATCCCACTATCATACTGATTTAACATGACTAGACAACCTAGCCAGCTCTATGTGGAAAGAAAAAAAATGGTTTAGAAAGAAACTGACAAACTATCATTTGCAAATGATAGAAAAACCTATACAATCAGAAAACTATTAGAACCATGAAAATATTTCATCATGGTTTCTGGATCAAGTTCCACCTTTTAAAATCAATTAAGTTTATCTAACCAATAATCACTAACAAAGAAGTATAATTCACAAATATTTATAATTGCATCAAAAACAAAGTGTTAAGCATTAATTTAAATAATACAAAAAGTCTCTATAAAGAAAACTTAAAAATTCTAATAATAGTATATAAACATATTTTATGTTTTTGATTGAGATGACTTTAATGTTATAAAGATGTTAATTCTCTTCAAATTCAGCTCTACACTCCATGCATCCCAATTAAATTTTCATATGGATTTTTAAAAAAATAAATATACTATTAATTATATATAGAAAAGAATGAAGGTTGGAAATTAACTTGGTCAATCTTAAGGGAACAAAATTTTTAAAAGTTAAACACCAAAAACTTGCCCTCACAGATAAATGACATACTACAGAGTTATAGTGTTAGAAATAGTGTAATCATGTTACAAGGTCAAACAAATAGACCAGTTAAATAGAATAGGAAGCTCATTCAAATTTAATAAACAATAAAGGTGGATCCCTGTAAATCAATGGGAAAAAATGATTGGTAAAAGAGTTCAGGAAACTAGCTCTTTATATAGAGAAAAATAAGACTTGTTGAGAAAACTAACACAAGATAGTATCCCTATCTAGACCAGAACTAAAAATGAACCCCAGAAGAATTAAGGACATAGTGTGGAAAGTAAAAGTATAACTATTGTATTTGAATAACTGTTAAAAATCAAATGAATAATTACAATCTCCACCCCCCGCCAAAAAAAATCAAATCAAATACAAAAGCAGGAATGTTTCAGAAACAGAGAAGCCAAAAGGCTAAGATGCATGTGAAATATGCTCAAACCAAGAGCAAGTTGAGGCAAAATGAGTAGTGTGCAGCAGTTAAAAGCAATGAAATAAATGTTCACATGACAACAAGAGATCTTAACTACAATTTAGACATATTTAAAAGTTATACTGGAAGCAATGCATAATTTTCCAAAATGTATAAAAAGAAGCATACATAATAAATGTATGGAATAGCTGCCTATAAGAGGAGGGGCATGGGAGTAGAAAGGGGACAAGTGAAGATGATGATGCTCTAATATACTGTATAATTTACTTATATTTTTCTATCTTCACCATTCTGTAAACTTTATGAAGGCAGGAGCCTTACTGTTTCTTCTTATATCCCAAGTACCAAGAGAATGTGTAGCACATAATAGTTATTCAGATGGTGTTAAATTAAATCATGCAGTGGCACATGCCTATAATCCCAGTAATTAAGAGATTGAGGCAGGAGGATCACAAGTTCCAGGCCAGCCTGGGAAATTTAGTGACACCCTATTTCAAAATAAAAAATAAAAAGGGCCAGGCTTGGTGGCACAAACCTATAATCCCAGGGGCTTAGGAGGCTAAAGCAGAAAGATTACAAATTTCAAGAGAGTCTTAGTAGTTTAGTGAGGCCCTAAGCTACTTAGTGAGACCCTGTCTCAAAATAAAAACAAAAAGGGCTGGGGATGTGGCTCAGTGGTTAATAGTGTCTGGGTTCAATCCCTGGTATGAAAAAAGAAAAGTAGAAAGGACTATGGGCGTAGCTCAGTGGCAAAGTACTCCTGGGCTCAACAATCCTTGGTACCAAATCTTTTAAAATATTGTTGAATTATTATGTAAAGAGAGAAACCCTGCATGGACTAGTTGTGGTGATATCTAAAAATACAAGTAGAAAACCAGGAATAGATGAATAAGACCAAAAATAAGAGAATGTGATCAATTTAACTGCAAAAGGGGTTATGGATTATGAAAAGTTGAGGTTGAAACATGAATGATTTCACCTGGCTCTACTCAACCATAGTTTAGAAGTATGATGTCTGTTTCATGGTGCCATATTCTGGGTAGGTCTTGGAGACACAGTCCATACACTTACTAAAAAGAAGCACACAATTTCAGATTCAGGTTTTGTATGAGTAGCTCTGAAAAAAATTTTAATATCAGTGTACACACTATCTTTTCCTGTGTTAAGAGTCAAACAGATCATTAGAAGATTAAAACTGTAGATAGCTGACTTGATCTAATATAGTAATGTGTCCCACTGGTGACAGCTAAATAAAAATTAATAAATTTTTAAGCACATCATGTGTAAAATAAATGGCATAATTATATATTCAATACTGGAAACACATACCTCTCAATTTCTAATTCATGAGAAATTAACAGGACAGAATAAATGTCATCTTCTCTTTTAACTTTTTAAATTTTTGATATACATTCAAACAGATTTTTCCTCTTTACACATTTCAAAACAATGGTGGCACATATTTCCACTCCACCAAATTATCCTTTACCTAATAGTTGCCATATTAACAAGTTTAGTGAGTATGACAATTCTGAAACATTATCAGACACACTTGAAACTCCAGTTCCATTGCAGATTCCCTCTCATTGAATTAATATCATTTATTCATCTAAGAAATTATAAATAACACCAAAATTGTCTTCAGAGTAGGCTTGATAGCTGAGGTTCATAAGGCAGAGGATTTGGAAAGCATATGTTACTAGTGGAGGTAGCAGTTTCTTACTGAATTCTCTGCTGGAATATGAAGTCTAATGAAATGCCTGAAAGACTGCACCAATGACAGAGTTTTCTTTGAATTAATGTGATAGTAAACCTAAAACAAACAGAGAAAAGAAAAAAAAGGAAGGAATAAAACAGAGAAGGTGAAATAGATCTAATAACTTAGATATTGCCCACCAACTTGTATCATCAGCATCCCCCAAGGCACTTGTTAAAAATGCAAAATCTCAGATCCCATCACCAACTTACTGAATCAGACTCTGTATATTCTACATTAACAGAATTCCCAAGTGATTCATATGAACATTAAATCTGAGGATCACTGAACTAAATCACAAGTAGAAGACTTTGGGGAGAGAGACTTCCTCCTTTCTAAGAGAAGGACAAGATAAGTTTATTTGTAAGTAGGTTTGATGGTGTAAAATAATTGAGATTTAGTCTGATAGTTTCTGTCTCAAAATTTTCATTCCCTAAACAGCAATAGTTTAATTAACTCCATTCAGCCATCCAGCCATCCCTTCATTCATTCATTCACTCACTTAAAAAGTTAAATTGAGCAAGTGTTTAAAATGTGCCAGCACTGTTTGTTCAGTCATCTACATTAGTGTCTATTTTTGGCATGATAGTTGACTCTTTCCTTAATTGTAGTTAACTTTTGCAATATTTGTCCAAAAATCAAGTGAATTACTTTAAAAGGCAACAATTTCAACAACTACACTGTGAATAGAATATTAACAAAGTGCATTTTCTATTAAAATGGCAAATCATGTAAGGTCTGAAATATGTTAGTCACAAAATGTAAAAATGTATTTGGAAGATACTTATAGACATGACACAAGAATATTTTCCTGAAAACTGCTTGAAAGCTTAGAGTACAAATTAAATGTATACTAAGCACAGATTTATATGCTAAGCCCTTTGCTAGGCATTTTAGGTAAAAACATGAATGAGATAGTTCCCATAATATGATGTGGTATGCCTGGCTGGCTTTATAGGTGTGAGATTTGTACAGTTGCCCAAGCTGTGCGTTTGCTTCTAAAGTTCTGTTGCTGCAGTCTTGAAATTCCCAATAACTTATCTTTGAACTTGTAGGTGAAGTCTAAGTACATGAACTTTTAAGTGAAGTCTGATGGGAAAATGGACCCAGTGTGAGCAGAGGAGATAAAGACAAAAACCGATAAAAGCTTTACATTTTAGTACATTTGGCTCTTTTCTGCTTTTAGAACAGTGGATTGGGCACTTGGTTTAGCCAATTATGCAGCCAGTCCTAATGACAGTCAAATAAAACTACTGCATGGGCCAGATACTGTGACAGAATAGAGAAATGATGCAGTTAACTATGGGAAGGTCAATGATGATTTTACAAGGGAAAATATCAATGGTGGGCTGTGAAGGACAAAGAGAGTGTGCCAGAAGACAAGAGCCCTCCAACAAGGTGAAGTGTGTGTGGGTGGGGGGTGGGGGACAGTGTTCTTATAGGTATATGTATATACATTTATTTCCCTTAAGATTTTTTAAAAAGAAGTTTTCTCATAGAGAGTTAATATATTCTCGATATACTGCCTTTAACATTTTTGTATTTACCTGTGTACTGGGCACAAATTCCACTTCTTGCAGAAGCTCATTATCTCGTGGAGCAAGCTTAAGGATAAAAAATGTACTGAGATGAACAAACATGCCCTTGGTTTCGATTTTTACCTGGGTTTGTGACTCTTCCCCTCTCGGAGAAAGGGTTCCGGTGGTTTTGGTATTCGTAGGGGTCGAAGATTTCAATCTCGCCAGGAATCGGGGGTTCCTCTGTATTAGGGGTTTCCTCCTCAAGCTTGAACTGGCTCCAGTTAGTAGTGCCACAGAGTTTTTCTATTTCTTTCACCAGGTACCTGCCGCACAGCTTCCTGGTTCTGGTTAAGTCTTCTCTAAGTTGACTGGAGAACTGAAGCAGCAGGGGCCCAAACCACAGCAGAAGTAAACCAAAGAGCTGCGTCATCCCTGGGTCCTTCAGCCAGGGCCAGGTAGCACGAGCAACGGCTGTCTATGGACCCCACCTCTCCCGCCCCCACCCCTGTCCGGATGCACTTTCACGCATGCGTCCCAGCGGTCTTGAAAGCATCCGCAGTCCCTGGAACACAGAGGAGGCTCCAAGTGCACTTAGATTCTGCCTTCAGCCCTCAGGAAAGTCAGGGTGGTAAGTTGTAGCTTTCAAAGTTAGAGCCCAGAATACCCCCCTCTCCTTCTTTTGATCCATTTTTCTTGCCTTTCTCATCGGGAATCTAAATGAAACCTAAGAACACTGGGACCCCTGTTAACAGAAAAGGTAGCCATGAGAGAGGTTCCTGCTTCTTGTTATAAACATAATATGATGATGTTTTTACTGTAAGTATAAAATCACCTGTCATTGAGCATGAGTTGAAAATTCTTTTCTGCCATAGAAGTATCCTTGTTCTATTTTATTAACAGTATAAATTACCTCAGTTGCTTTTTTATCTTCTAACATAATAATGATTGCAACATGTTTATCACTTTAACCAACAAAAGCACTGTCTACATTGCCTAAACAAGTTCATATTAAAGTGTCAAAATAATTTTAGTGACTTGTCAGTTAACACCATCCAAAAATAAAATCACAAACCATGCAGTGTTGTAGTTGAGTACTTGTTTGGTGCTATTGAAATGGCCTTTGCTCACAAGCAGATTGTAAAAACATCTCACTTGAATTTTTCTCTCCAAGGAATTCAAACACTTTTAGACTGGTTTCTATCCTGCTTCTAAGAGATTGAAATAACATTGTTAAGTGACCTAAATGAATTATTCTCAAAAATTGTTTCTGTATGTACCAAGTATGAATTATAAGCCCAGTCCCTTGTGTGCAAGAAATATCCACTGACTTCACTTTAATAAATCAACTATGCATCAACACTCTAGCACTGCGGAAAATTATTCTAAAGTCTTTTAAATTCAGTTCCAACATTTTTCTGTGCCTTGAAACCTGGGGGGTTAATACTATATTTTCAATTCAGTAGGGTTTCATAGTCCCATAGTTTCCCCAAAAAATATCCTCAGGGATTGCTTGCAGTGCCAAAAACTCAGTGTTAGTTTTTCTCACCGTGGGTAGGGGAAAACTAGCCCAAGTTGGGTGTTTATTCTCTAGGACACTATACATATCCCATTCTAAGTCACCCAAATTACTAAAACCAACCACATTCTATATCGAGATAAACATTTCTTGAAAAATAACCTTCTTGGAAATATAATACTAAGATGTTTTTATTGTAAGAATGAAATCTGTCCATTATTTCCATGAGTTGAAGATTAATCTTTTTCTACCATAGAAGTATCCTAGTCCTATTTTATTAATGATATAACCTCATCAATTACTTTTTACTCTTAAAAATTTACAAAAGACAAGTCCCTATTCCACTGTGCAAAATAAATAAATTCTATCTTTTATTTGAAACTAAGGCTGTTTACTAGTTTCTTTAAAGTACCCCAAATTACAACAAGTCCTCCAGTTTCCCTGAGGGAAACACAAACAAAAGAGGCTTATAAATATGTGGCCGTATTTGCATTCCAAAGCACACTGTATGATTTGACTGCTATCTAGTGTGCCCATTGCCAAGAAAACTGTGCTATATGAAAATGATAAACCATTTTCTCTTCTACACAAAACACATAGAATACAGGAAATTTATCATAAATGATTTAATTCTTTTGGAAGAACATCCATCAACAACATACTCTTTCTGGATTATAGGTTTCTGCTGCTTTTTCTTTACTTTTATATTGTGTGTGTATGTGTGTGTTGTCCATCACTAAACATAAAGAATACAGTATCAAATTAAAACATTCCTGCAACAGGGAAAACAAAATCAACCAATGCCCCAGAAAAATCATTGGAAAGAAAGAATAGAAGGTGATTAGAATCTGGCTTCTCCCATTGTGAAAAGACCTGCAACCTGTGCTCTTCCAAGACTTACCAGGCAACACTAGGAGCCCCTGCTTGTTGTCTCCTCAGGCTCTCTGGACCGCAGATGTAATAATGGCCTTTAGGTGTCCTCTCCACCTAAGTTTCTGATCTTGTAAATGAATGAATAGGAAAGAACAGTGTAACAGTTAGACATCCTCATAGAAACCTAAATGTGATATTACTAGAAATTTTCATACTTTTCATAATACTTAGGTAATTGTCATCCGTTTCCTATCCTTTGTGAAAAAGCAGTCCATTCCTGCATCACGATATTATGGATGGATGTACTGGGAACTGTAACTATATAATCCTAGTCATGTAATGCCTTAAAGAAGAAATATAAAGAAATGTGAGTTGATGGGAGGCTATTTATGCAGAAAGAGTGAACTGAGATAAATTGGCAGTGAGCTGACAAGGCAGGTTTTCATGTCTTTTGTTCAACTCTGTTTCCTATGATGAGACTCCCCTGTGTTTGAGATTTAAAAACAAGCACCAAATGGGTTACAGATATTTCCGTAACCACGTCAATAGAATGTAGAAAAAGAGATGAATGAATAAGGAAGAAGGCATTTGAAACTCTGAAAGTCAAAAGATGAATGGGAAGATGCAAGGATGTGAGTGTGGAGTAACTGTGAGGAGAGGTGTGAAGAGTGAACAAACCTGAGGAAGACAATTACCAGTAGAGGTGGGTGGGGAAGGGGTGGAGCTTGGAACTTTGGCTCAGGAGCTGAGCTATACCCCAAAACATATAAAAGCCTGGTTGAGCCAAGGAGGGAAAGTGGCCTGAAGCCCAGGGAGACACACAGGCTCAGGTCAACAGGTGAGACCTCCGCAATCCCCAAGTAGGGCTGAAAAGCCCAGAGCAGGAGAGACCAGGCCAGGATGGCAAGCCTGTGCGTTTCTTAGCTTGTAGGAGTCTGGCTGCTGTTGGTCCAGTTTCCCAGGGAGATCATTGCGTGTTCACAGAAATCTGTCCAGAAGAGTTTGTGGCATGGTTTTTAGTGACATTGGGTACAAATGCAGGTCAAGGGGGCTGAGAGGCTGAAATATTCATGAGGAAGTGCCACTGCAAGAAAGACCACTGTCAGGTGAGAGCTCCAAGCCCTCCCTTTCTATCTTTCTGCACTGAATATTAGAGGATGTACAGCTGTAGAGGGGCTGAACTTTCACCATGGGGTCTCTGTTGGAGATCTGGATGCTCTGCTGGCTGGCTCCCCCCTCTGCAGGGGCAGATTCATCAAAGTGTGGACTTCTCTCACCAGAGGGAAGGCTGAGAGAATGTGGAACAGGCACACCAGAGGTACTGTGTTTCCTTTTCACCTCTTCAGCAGGAGTAATAGGGTGTGCAAAAACAGAGCCCCAGCAGGAGGAGAAGCTGCCCAAAGACCAAATGTAGGAGGAGGGACTCACTCAGGACTGTTTTTATGTTCTGTTATATGAAGGCAACCATGCTTTTGCTTCTCAGTAGGAAAACTGTTGCCATTTGCCTGACTCTCCTTGACATGAATGTATTTTCACACCACTTTCCCTCTACTCTCTCTACCTCACAGAAGTCCCTGTAATCTTTAGCCATAGAGATGCAGAAGCCTTAAAAACATTGTCAAAGTTCAATCCTGAATTTCTACAAGAGCTGAAGGCAATACTTTCTAACAGTTGGTCATTATGGCAGAACCTACAACATCTAAAAGACTGGCGTCATTTTCTCAAAGCATTCAGTAAATTTTGTTGTTATTTTCAATGTATACAGAGAGTTCAGTATCTGATTTGTGGTTTACATGGAAATCATGGATTTGTTATGTAAGCAATCTCAATTATAATGACTCAAGTCAGTCACCAGTGATGAACCAGTGATTATTAAAATTAGGAGTAATTGTTCTTGGTGCGTTGTTTGCATTTTCATTTTTCTGAAGGGAACAGTCTCCCCAGGATTGTCATTTGTGCCAACATGTAATCCTTGTTGGGAAAGTGGTCTTCATGACTCTTCTCTTGTTAATTGTATAACAACATCACTACATTTAATTCTACAGATTTCACAATGATTAAAGTGTTTATGAGGTAGGCAGTACTGTGACTCACTTTGACACTGCCTAACTCCAAGAGGAAGAAGACAACAAAATTGCTTCCTGGACAATATCAGCATAGACCAGTTGTATATAAAACCACAGACCTCCCAGTTTTCTGCTTGTGTCAAAATGTACACACTTTGTCTTACTGATGTGTTCTTTGCCAGCCACCAGGGTGTACACTAAGCCTATGTCATTTAGATTTTTAAACCCAAAGGAAATACCCTTTCAAAGTAGGGTTCTTTTATGTTTGGAAGTGACCCAACTATGTACTTTGAAATGCTAAAGGCTTGGTCCTAAGACACTTTTTCTGACATTGGGCATGAATTTATCAGCACAGTCTCTCAAAGGCAAAAAGAAAACAAAGGAATCCCACATTTAGCTCTGTCTTGAATCATGGGGTCCTAGCACCAAAGTGTCAAGACTCCCATGGTCCTCAGTGTACAGTAGTTTGTGCTGCAACACCCTTACTGCTACTGTGCATGGTCCCCTAAACTCAGAGCTGGTCTCTCTGCCTGGGTACAGGAGAGTTTTGCCACAAGTGGCTTTCTATTCCCTAGTGTACTTACTACAAATCTCCTACTCACATCTTCAATTCTCCGTGGCTCCACCACAGAGCAGTGCATGGCAAAAGCCAAGACTACAGCTTTATGTAAAGGCAGAGATACTAGTAGAGAGATAGAAGAAAAGTCAATTTATTTTTCTCTTCTTCTCCCTTTGTGTTTTACCTCTGACAGATATTTGTGTAAACTCTTGGCTGAACAGCTATTTAAAATCAGGTTGAAGAAGATTCTCTTAGGTTCTTCTGATAATTGACCCATTTAGGCTAATTATTGGTGTACACATAAAAGTCACTTTAAAAAAATTTTTGTTGTTTTTAGTTATAGGTGGACACAATATCTTTGTTTTATTTATTTATTTTATGTGGTGCTGAGGATTGAACCTGGTGTCTCATACATGTGAGGCAAGTGCTC